GCTGTCTAGTTCCCATCCCTCTATATGACCTGTATGGTAATCATGAAGAAAGGTAATTTAGGAGGATATGAACTAGCTCCTTCATAGTGAGCTGTCTAGTTCCCATCCCTCTATATGACCTGTATGGTAATAATGAAGAAAGGTAATTTAGGAGGATAGGAACTAGCTCCTTCATAGTGAAATGTCTAGTTCCCATCCTTCTAAATAACCTGTATGGTAGTAATGAAGAAAGGTCATTTAGCAGGATGGGAACTAGCTCCTTCATAGTGAACTGTCTAGTTCCCATCCCTCTAAATAACCTGTATGGTAATAATGAAGAAAGGTGATTTAGCAGGATGAGAACTAGCTCCTTCATAGTGATCTGTCTAGTTCCCATTCTCCTAAATAACCTGTATGGTAATAATGAAGAAAGGTGATTTAGCAGGATGAGAACTAGCTCCTTCATAGTGAGCTGTCTAGTTCCCATCCCTCTATATGACCTGTATGGTAATAATGAAGAAAGGTGATTTAGCAGGATGAGAACTAGCTCCTTCATAGTGAGCTGTCTAGTTCCCATCCCTCTATATGACCTGTATGGTAATAATGAAGAAAGGTGATTTAGCAGGATGAGAACTAGCTCCTTCATAGTGAGCTGTCTAGTTCCCATCCCTCTATATGACCTGTATGGTAATAATGAAGAAAGGTGATTTAGCAGGATGAGAACTAGCTCCTTCATAGTGAGCTGTCTAGTTCCCATCCCTCTATATGACCTGTATGGTAATAATGAAGAAAGGTGATTTAGCAGGATGAGAACTAGCTCCTTCATAGTGAGCTGTCTAGTTCCCATCCCTCTATATGACCTGTATGGTAATAATGAAGAAAGGTGATTTAGCAGGATGAGAACTAGCTCCTTCATAGTGAGCTGTCTAGTTCCCATCCCTCTATATGACCTGTATGGTAATAATGAAGAAAGGTGATTTAGCAGGATGAGAACTAGCTCCTTCATAGTGAGCTGTCTAGTTCCCATCCCTCTATATGACCTGTATGGTAATAATGAAGAAAGGTGATTTAGCAGGATGAGAACTAGCTCCTTCATAGTGAGCTGTCTAGTTCCCATCCCTCTATATGACCTGTATGGTAATAATGAAGAAAGGTGATTTAGCAGGATGAGAACTAGCTCCTTCATAGTGAGCTGTCTAGTTCCCATCCCTCTATATGACCTGTATGGTAATAATGAAGAAAGGTGATTTAGCAGGATGAGAACTAGCTCCTTCATAGTGAGCTGTCTAGTTCCCATCCCTCTATATGACCTGTATGGTAATAATGAAGAAAGGTGATTTAGCAGGATGAGAACTAGCTCCTTCATAGTGAGCTGTCTAGTTCCCATCCCTCTATATGACCTGTATGGTAATAATGAAGAAAGGTGATTTAGCAGGATGAGAACTAGCTCCTTCATAGTGAGCTGTCTAGTTCCCATCCCTCTATATGACCTGTATGGTAATAATGAAGAAAGGTGATTTAGCAGGATGGGAACTGGCTCCTTCACAGTGACCTGTCTAGTTCCCATCCTTCTAAATAACCTGTATGGTAGTAATGAAGAAAGGTCATTTAGCAGGATGGGAAACAGCTCCTTCATAGTGATCTGTCTAGTTCCTATCCTTCTAAATAACCTATATGGTAATAATGAAGAAAGGTGATTTAGCAGGATGGGAACTAGCTCCTTCATAGTGAGCTGGCTAGTTCCCATCCTTATACATGACCTGACCACTAGGGGGCAAAAGGTTATTCTGTGGGATGGGAACTAGCCAGTTCACACTGAGCAAGCTAGTTCCCATCCTCAGAATTGACAAGGTGAATCTGCAGGATGGGAACTAGTCGCAACCCAGCTCCTATTCGTTAGAGTTTCCCGGCTACTATTTCCTGCTTCCTGGTCACATGTTTCCTGTGACATCACAGGGCAATCTGCGGGATAGGAACTAGCCGCTACCCTGTATTACATGGGCCCATAGAAAACACTACACCTGCATGTAGAGCTGGAAAAAAAAGAAACAAAAAAGCCAACGTGCTGATAAAAACTTAGCGTCCTAATCAAATCAATGGAGTGATCTGCCTCCTTAGGACTTGTAGTGAGTGGAACTCACAGTGTGCGGAAATAAAGAAGGGCAGACCTAGCTTGCGGCGGCCATTTTGTCGGAGATCGCTCATGGCGACATCCAGCCCTGAGATTCCTTTCTAGTGCCTGCAGCTTTACAGCGGCAGACGCGTGACGTGGACGGCCGTCACATCAGTTTCAGTCCGAAAGGGCAGCTAACATGTCGGCTGTCACAGACAAGGGACTGAAGAACACAGTGTGGCAGAGTAAGTATACTGCCGTGTGCAGTGATATGACGCCATGTATCAGTGTCCAGCTTTCTCAGACCTAAGATCACATTTGTATGAGAACATAAACAGTGCAAAAAAAAAAAAAAGACTCTGCAGGTTCCTATAGTAGAGCTGTTAGCGCCGTAGACATAACTTGTTCGTTGTATTTCTGAAAACGCTGACATGCAGATGAGCTGATGCTCCAAAGTGACAGAAATTACGGTGATGACGTCAGAGGACGTCCTGTATATACTGCCACTTAGGGCTCGTTGTTCACACTATATTCAGTCACTCCTGGGGCACATAGGGAATCACTGTTTTCTGTGTACTTGGTTCACACCACAATTCAACTATGTTGCAATTTGTCCAGCTTATTGGACTGCACAGCAGATCAGTACACCACCCTGCTGTGCAGGGGCTTGAACAGACTGTACAGTTTGTACACTCCAAAGTTTGGAGTGTACAATTGCAAAACAACGCAAGGCACTGTGGCTCATGGCTGCCACTTAGCGGATACTCGCTGCACGGTTAAATGCAAATTTTTACAATGTGGCTATTGCAGGGCCAAACTCCAGCTCTTGTGGAACACCTCCCTCTCCCGCTGTGGTTTTCGTGGTCCACCGCTCTTCTGGGGGACCCGGGACCGCGGTAAATTACTTCAGGATGGAGAGCGTCTGTTCTCCGATCTGAAGTAAAAGAAACAGGTCACCAGCACTCGTTTAGAATAAATATGTCCTTTTTTAATGGACAATTGTGTCACTACAATCAACAGAGCCGACGTTTCGGGGCCGCACAGGGTCCCTTCTTCAAGGCATTAAAATTTGGTCACAATTTTAGTGCCTTGAAGAAGGGACCCTGTGCGGCACTGAAACGTCGGCTCTGTTGATTGTAGTGACACAATTGTCCATTAAAAAAGGACATATTTATTCTAAACGAGTGCTGGTGACCTGTTTCTTTTACTTCGTATTTTGCACGGTGCCATCCGTGATAGTCATTGCGAGCACCACCGTTCTTATTTGGCCAGGACTGCTGTAAGGTGTGCGGAGAGGACCCCCACCACCTGAAAACTTTTCTCCGATCTGCTCTGCATGATCAGTGACACAGGAGCGTTGTACTCCCAGTGTTCCTGCCCAGAGTTCAGTCATCTGGCTGCTATAGCCAGAGAGAAGAAGCTGATGAAGCAGATCTGTACTTCATCAGCTTCTTTTGGGGTCCCCATGTGACATTAGGGGTCTTAGAGACCACTAATGTCTTCATAAAGAGGACCTGTCTGTGTGCCTTTGCTATTATATAGGGGGATTGTTATCCCCCTATGTAATAACAATAAGTGTAAAAAAAACCCACAAATTTTTAAGTCCCCACCCCCACATTTACGCACATATAAACGTAAATACGCGTTCGCGGCGCCAGCATTGCGAAAATGACAATTGCGCTACACATGTTACATATCGCCGCGAACGTCGCAGTGAGAGCAATCATTTTAGGGCCATCAATCACTGATAACACTAAACTGATGAGCGGTAAAAGCTTTTTAAATCGTCGCCTGTGGCCAATTTTAGGTATTGTAGTTTTTTGAGGTTTCGCGTGCGCGCGCAATTTTAAGGCTTGACATGTTTGGTGTCTTTTTACCCAACGTGACCCCGTCTTTTATATTTTACCAAAAAATTGGGTAATAATAAATGTTTTATCATTTAATATAGGGGGAACAGTTTGTTTTTAAAACAAATTGGTACTTTTGCCTTAATATAGTAAAAAATAAAACCCCCAGTGGTGATTAAATACCACCAAAAGAAAGCTCTATCTGTCCCTAAAAAATGGTATAAAATTCATTTCAGTACAGCGTTGCATGACGGAATAAATGTCAGTCAAAGTACTGCAGCTCTGAACACTGAAAAAGGGCCTGGATGGGAAGGGGGTTTAACACCGCGGACTTGAAGTGGTTAAAGACTCCAATTTTGTCAAGCGGCAAAGAAACATATTAAAAAGTATGATAAAAATAAATCTTTTATTCAAAGGCATTAAACTTGTAGGCACAATATAAGTATTCTTATCAAATAAAACAACAGAAGGCAAACAATAAATGTCAAACTAAAATAGAGTCTATACAAATAAAGTGTCACCCTTTTTTTCAAGTCAGTATATCTAGAAAAGTAAAAATAAAAAAACAGAACACAAAACCTGGACTACACGTAAAATGAATGAATTACTATATGTCCGAATATACGAAAAATCTATTCAGGCACATAATAATTTGTTTGAGAATGTGCGACGGCCATGTTGGCCGCCGGCGTGTTCTGTGAATGCGTGCCACCATCTTGGAGGCGGGGGAGCATGACGTTACAGGACGTCATGCATGCGTGGCTTCAGGTGACACCGTACATCTAGATATTAGGGGTCCAAACAGACCCCTGACATTTCCCTTTTAAAATAGAAAAGAAACTGAGGACACCACATCCTCAATTTCTTTTTCACATAGGGGCTTGTTAGCCCTTGTGCGATAGCAGTAAAGTTAAAGTGACATTAAAGTCAAAAAACTTTTTCCCTCCCCCCAATGTTAATTAAAGCACATACCTTAAATGATGTTTCTTAATCCGATCTTCTTCTTCTTTCCTGTCCTTTTCATCTGTCCCTCCAGCGCTGCGGCGGGTCTCCGATCCAGCGCTGACTCCTCTGAGCTTGCTGGCACTTCCTGTCCCACGGTGTCTGCATGCGGGTGCACCTGTCCATAGACTTACCTTGTGTCTCTCCTTGCGTCCCAGCCGAAAATGTGAACTGCGCATGCGCCCACCCCAAGATGCTTTGCGGCCTCCCGAGATTTTTCACATTTTTGGACGGGAGCGCGCGGGGAAGCAGTAGATATATATGCAAAAAAAACAGAGGGTTTAGGTCTGGAAGCACTTTTGTAGGTCCGTATGCCATACGTCCTTGGCAGCGAAAGGGTTAAGTAAAAAATAATACAATTATAAAAAAAAAAAAGAAAACATTGATACAAAGTAAAAAAAATAAAATTTAAATTACAAAAAGTAAAAAGAAAAGAATAAAAATTAAGGAAAATAAACATTAAAAAGTGGTAAGAAAAAGCAAAATAAAAAAATGTAAAATCGCCCCCACCATCTGCATGTGAATAAACGCACCCATAGGGCATTGTGTGTGCGCTGGGTGCTGCCCCTATTCCACCGTGTGCCATATTGTGGTAGCCGATAGCAGCGCTCTCTAACACGCACAATGTGCATTAAGGGGTAAGTTTACTTTCCTAAGGTTTTTGGGAAAATACAATTACAAACTTGAATTTGGCACCTCTTTCTATACTTACCTTTCAGCAAATGGTCCTTCCTCTCCCCCAGTGTACTATCTGTACCCCCTTACTGCCGCCCAGCTCAGATCTGCGCTATGGATTTTAAATTTCGCTTGCCCATTGCGAGCACTTCTTAGCATCGTTAAATAGTTATTTTAGTTAAAATAATTTTTGTATCGCGACAAGTAGGTTGTCAGGAGGGACAAGTAGATTGGGCCCTCGCTTTAGTCCTTGGACAAGTTTTTTTGTTTAATTGCCACACCCCTGAAGAACTGAGCCACGTTTTCTCTGACATGGAACAAGTGTGCTGATTATGAGCACTGACTTCTAGGACTGAAACAACTAATTGATAATGAGAATCGTTATCAATGATTCTTACTATCAATTAGTTGGTCTGCTTCTCTCCTCTACACTGGGAGCTTGTCTTTCACGGGCTCTGTGTCTCCTCTAATCCCCGCTGCTCTCAGCGGGGGGGACACAGACCCCTGCAACTGGTGCCCAGTGGTGAGGAGAGCTCCCCCAAACTGCCCCTGCTCGATCTTCGCCGCCAATGCTGCGGCTGCTCTGCAGCTCTCTCCTCCCTACTGCATGATGTGGCAGTTAGGCCGTGAGTGACTTCTCGCGGCCTTCTGGCCGGTTCCCAGACCTGGCTGTCCAATGTGCAGCGGGCAAGGATGGAGCCTGGGGCGGCCCGCCGGTACAGGTAATACATGAGGTGCTGGGTTGTTCATGGAAGTCCCTGTGAGGCTGGCAGTGTCTGCCTCTTAGGTGTACAGTAAGTGTGTTGTGTTATGTAGTTGATCATGGCTCGGTGTGACCCTGTTACTGATCACCTCAGTGCTGCTGCCTGACCTCCAGCTCCAAGCTGTACATGTGTCAGTGCAGTCCCAGCATAGTCATCCGTGTCTTGGTGTTATATTTTGGGGACCAGGCTGATGTTGTTTTTATTTCATGGGCTCTGTGCAGGTTGATCTGCTATTGGCTATTGCAATTTGAAATGGCCACCAATAGCAGGCTGGCTATTTCCCAGTATCTGCTGTATCTACATTCAGCTGCCGTCTGGGGAATCTTGCCACTGGCAGCTGTCATTTCCTGGCTGAAGCTATTCTAGCGCCATGTGCTTACAATACAATTTTTTATTTATTTATTTTTAATTGTAAGGTGCGAAAAAAGTTATTTTCAGTTGCGGCCTGTCAAATTCTGCTGCGGGAAGTGCGTTGCAGTACCGTTCATTTCAATGGCACCCCAAATGCGCCTCCCACCCCACAGTGTGATCTCCCGCACTAGAAAGCACCGTACCACAATGCCATGCTTTCCAGTTCAGTGCGATTGCAAGAAATTGTGCATGCAGTTTTATTCTGAGGTAAACTTTGTTTGGAACACTGCAATTGTGTATTTTTTATTTTAGTCTAAGGATTGTATTTTTTTTTTTTATCAGATTAATCGAAAAAATCATTGACCACCTACTCGATTTATGAAAATAAGTTACAGCCCTACACGAATGAATGCAAAAATGTTACATCGCAAATTATTTTTTTTATATTCTAGTTAGGGCTGCAACAACTAATCGACATAATCGATTATAATCGATTATTGAAAAAGTTGTCAACTTTTTCAATAATCAATTAATCGGCTTCCGATCAGTTGGCCCTGTTCACAGCTCCACACGCTGTGCACCGCACCTCCTCCCCACCTCACGCTC